ATGAGAAGGAAAAAATGAAGTCAGAAAGACATTCGAAATATTAGAAGTAGACCGTAGCGTTAATATAGATAGAAATTGACAAAACAAAATGGTGATTGAAAACAAAACTTCGGCACTGGTGCGCATCTGTGCGAGATTTTTACATTCTTTCTAAAAAAATTATTCGGCACCGGTGCGCACCCGTGCACAACCAGTGCCGATAAAATATTTTTTTGTAGGGCACTATCTCTATGGGAAAAAAAGCTGATAGGTTTTGATTTATATTAGTCCGTAGCAGAAAAAACTACGTACTGTCATCAATGAGTCAGAAAGTAAGAGATTTTGCCTCTACATCCACTTTCTCAACTTCAGAAATCGATTGACAAGCAAATCAAAGTTAATAAAATCTTTCCTCAAGCAAAATTTTTGGAAAAACTGCTATAGGATTACTAGTATGGGGCAAAAATCGTTTTGTTCACAGGAAATGTTTTACTGATATGTGTGTTACAGGTATGCTATTCATAGTCTTTTGTTTTTAAATAGAATCTACTAATATTTTATTTTCTATAAACTTCTAAATGGAAAAGATAAATAGATACAGTTTCTTAAACATTGTTTTCTATCATATAAACATATGTATGCACGTTTATAGAAGAAGAAAAATATGTCGATAATGATGATATGACGATTACGATATAATTCTATCGTGAAAGTTAAATAAATCGTAAACAAACGAGATCAAGTGAACAAATGAATGATAAGAATTGATGATTAGCTTTTAATGATCTCAACCTAAAGATGACATTAGGATTATAGAACAATGTTTATTCACAATGAGAATAAGAGAATACCCCAAAGAAGCGTGTAGTAAATAAATAAAAAAAAAAGAAATTTGTGATACCGAAGAAATAAAATTAATGTTATGAGCAGGTAGAAGACAGTTAAAATAGTAGCAGAATCCAATAGTATTTAAAAATAATGTTTTATCTTATAATCATTACGTTTCTTATTACCATACAACAAATTAAATTTAGTGCCGGTAAAGTAAAATGTGAGTTATTGTCAAAATTACTTGACAAAAATTATCATCAATATTTTGTCCAATAGAATAATCTAATTTTATTTCAACAGTATAATCATTTTTTAAAAATTCTATAAATTTAGCTCTAAAACTTTCGTCGCATGTTTCTATTCGATACTCTCCAACGAAGTTTTATCCAGAAAGTCGAAGCAACATTATTCATCTGTAAAATTAGTAGTTTCAATAGTTTAAAAGTCATCTCTTAACTCTCTCATAGCTATGACTTAGAAGTTTCATAAATGGTAGATATCTAGATCGTATTAATCACGATAATATCTATATTTATTATAGCTATCCAAGCTCAACATAATCTTGGTGAAATTTGTATACCTGGAACATGTTCAAGTATTAATTCAAATTGTAAACGTGTTAGTGATACATTTCGATGTGTTTGTCGAGATCAATTTATTTCTGTGAATAAAACTCATTGTTGTAAGTTTTTTACATCTATCATATGTGTATAGATAATCATTTTATATTTTTATATATTCTAGTAAAAGTAATCAATGTTTCAACAGATTCATCATGTTCTAATTGTATAAATGGAAATGGTATATGTTTAGATGAAAATAATGATGATAGAATGGACGGTTGTTATTGTCCAACTGATAATGCTTTGTGTAATTTAAAAACAGCTACTATTAAATCCTTTACAATACCTGTTACATCAGGATTGAGAAAAAAGTAATCATTTTTAGATTATTTTTGTTTATTTTGAAATAATTAGAAACATATAAAAATAAGTTTTTTTAGAGTACAAAATACCGAATCAGCAATAACAATTGTATCCGGTGGTATTTCATCATTAGCTAAAGGTGATCTTGCTCTCGGTTTATATGATTTAAATCAACAACGATTAATAGAAAATGGTGGTTCCGTCTATCTTGGAGATAAATTATTTATTGAACTGAAATATAAGGCAGGTAGGATAATTAATTAAAAACAATATTTTTTCAATCCTTTTTTCTTTTTTATCTGTGTGTTTTTATATATAGATAATAATCTTGAATATCAAATTATTGCGGAAAATTGTTCAATTGCTTCGAGTGTATCAGATAATGATCCTAAACTGGAAAAAATTAATCTTCTTATAAATCGGTAAAACGAACTATTTCAATACAAAAAAAAAAAAAATTCAAAAAAATATACTTTAATCAAAGTTCTTTTATTATTTTTATCTTCTTCTCTAGATGTCCAACACAAGAACGTTTTTCTTTTCGATTTCAACGTCTCGATCCACATCATATTAAAAGTACAATATTTAAAGCAGTTAAATTTGAATCAACGCCAATAGCCTATCTTCGATGTTCAGTTGCCATTTGTTTTGGTCATACAGAACATTGTCAAGAACGTATTTGTCAGAATATTAATATAAATAGTGATTTATCATTAAATTCTAAACAGTCAAAATTGACAAAATTTTCATCAATAAATAATGTTGAACAATTAAGTGATTCAGTAATCGTTGATGATAATAATAATAATGATGAAACAGAAGATATTACGTTATTTCGTCGTCGACGACGACGACGTCATTATAATAAAAATAATATAGATAAAAAAAAAATGTCAAAATTAATTCTAAATTTTCCATTGTCATCAACAACAACACCACCTATTCAAGAATTTCCAATAGATATGTTTAATACAGATGATAGTTTTAGTAAAACAGATACAAATAAATATTTTGAAATAAGACATGTACAAATGCAATTTACTACAGAATTATCAAATCCGGCTAACATTGTCACAAGAAAAACTTCATATGGTAGAATATATTTTTTTTATTTTTATCTTTAATTATTTCTTTTTTTTATTTTATAATTGACAACATTTTTTATTGTTTTTGTTTTATATATTTAGAAACACTTTATGGTTCTCAGTCGACGCAAGGTGCTGAACGAAGTACAGTGATAGCAGCTATTTCTATTATATTTATTATTGGTATATCCGTTAGTTTATTTGTTGTTTATCGTACATGTTATTTAGAATATAATAATCGAATTTATGGTACAAATGAGAGTATTTATGGTATTGGTAGTACAAGTCAAGTTTGTCGTCGATACGATATGGGAAGAAGAACAGAACAACAATTTGATGAAAGTTTTTTTGTTAGTAATGTTGAACCATTAGGAGCGTATAGGCGGCATTATTAAATTAAAAAAATTGAACATTTTTTTTTTTTTTTCTTCACAGTAAATAAACTTTTTTACTCGACGATCAAAAACAAATATATATATATAATCATTAATATTTTTAAAAATTTTTGAATAAAACATAGATAATTGGTATAGTTAATACCATTCCGGCATAAGTCAATGTAGCTGTTATTAAACTATATTGTCTCATTTTAGATTCTAATGTATTCTCTGTGTTTTCAAACATTTTATTTAAATTAATATTATCTTCATTTATTAAATTTTGTTTCTGTTTGGATGATATTAACATTTCTTCAGATTTATTATTTAATGTAACAAGCATTGGCGTTGATTTTCCATATAGAACATAGTCAATCATATCATGTCGAAATGAATCAATATATTTATTTTGTTTATCTAATACATCTTTAAATAAATTTTCTGTTTGTAATGTCATATTTTTTAATTCATTTAATCGATAATAATTTGTTATTGTTGCTCCAATAATTCCACATAACGCACCAATAACTGAACCAATAACTGACCAATATTTTGTTCGTTCTGTTCTTAAACGTTCTTTTTCTTGATTATCTCTTAATGATAATTGCATTATAGAAAATAATTGTCGTTCATTTTGTTCAGCTGATAATAATTTATCAAGTAAACGTTTTTCTATTTTAACACCATCATGTTCTTCAGTAAACAATTGTAAATAACGATCATCTGAACGTGGTAATTTTTCCATATTTAAACGTAATGTTTTCAATTTTTCTTGTATTTCATGTAATTCTTTCATATGAGAACGACGAATATTTTGAGCATTTATAAAATTAATTTCAGCCTAAAATATGTTTATTAATCAGTTTTCATACAAAAATAACTTTAGATGCCTACTCTACTTGTTTATTCAAGTACATGCAACAACTCACATCATCACTCAACTATTATTCTAAATAATTACATCGTTAACATTTTTTTGTGCTTGTTTAACTTCTTTTAAACCAATGACATCTTCATAGAAATCGAACAGACGATAAATCGATCTTGGTTTAACAGATGAAATATTCTTTGCTAGATAAAAAAAACAACAAAAAAATGAGTTAGATCAAGAAAGATGTTCGTTTCACGAGACTTACGAATTTCTGATGTTATTGTTGTAGTTGAACTTAATTTTGTCAAATGTTTCAATGAATTTAAATTAAGCACTCTTGGTAATAATCGACTGAGCATTTTTTATGAATCTAAAATTATGTGCATTTCGGTGGCGAATGTAAATAACAAGAAAAAAAAAGAAATCTCAAGTAAAAATTGTATATTGATAAAATTTTCGAAGAGAACATCGTTTATATGTCCATCTTATTATTACAAAAAAGAAAAACAACAATACTAATACTTTTAGATAAAGATTTACTGTTTTGATGACATAATAAAAAGAAACTGTACACAAATAATGACAACTGATTAGGGGATATTGAAGAGGTTGATATATGAGAGAGAAGTTCGTACAAGATGAGATCAACTTTCTATTACTGACTGACATTTAACGAAGTTATTACTAAACTGGTTAAAACTTGTTCAATCATAATTATTTGCGGGTAATTGTGACAAGTGACTAATAAATAAAGAGAAACAAATCCAAAGACTAGTTTATACCAGACGAATAGAAACAAATGTATATGAAAAATTTATGGATTTCTATATAAAGAAAAAGGACATACGGTGGTGAGACAATAAGCTTTTTCATATTATATTTTTAGCAAAAAAAGATACTGGTCTTTTCCTTTTAAGAGAAAGGAGACTCGAAAAGTTGACATAGATTGAAGAAGTGAGAAAAAAAACGCAAAAGAAGTAGTTGACATCATTTGTGTATAATCCCAAAATAGAATAATTTGGTACAAAAAAATAAAAAAGGTGCAATATGAGTGACTATCATAATCATTTTTATCGAGTCAAAGTTGTACTTAGTCGATAATTATCTTGTTTATTCGAATTTGGATAAATAAATGTTAAATGCTCAGATTCTTTTGGCCAATATCAGTTTTGAGCTGCTATTCAACTGTATTTGTCGGTAATAGTGAATGATTTATAATTTTTGAATGTAAACACAATGTTAATTTTCAATATGAGAAGTGATCAATATAGCCTCGACATAGTGTGAGTTATAGTGATTAATTATTGTGTGATACTGCTCACATTTTTCAAACAGAAACTGTACACTATAATTATTAAATATCAAAAATAATTTTTTAGTAGTAAGTAGGAAAAATACTATTTGAATCAGTTGAAGAGAAAGCCATGCTTGATTAATAAAATAAACGAAAAAAAGTCGATAGATTGGAAAACAAATATCTGTAAGAGTGAAATTACGATACACAGTCATTTAGAGTACCTTCAATTTTAGAAAATTTTAATAGTATAAACAATTAAAGGAGAGTAGAAAAATTACGCTTTTTTTTAAACATAGACATAACGATCATAAACAACGATCACACAAACAAGGTGATCATACTCATATTTGTTTTTCATTTTAGATCTTCATTAACAACAGCACTAATTCGCTCTACATGTATTGCCGCTACTTTATATTTAAGTTCATCTTCTTGACTATATATTTTTCTTAAAATTTTAACACCATTTTCAATTGTTTTGACTGTCGGTAAAGCTTGAGATAAATGTTTTGATAATAGTTCTTCAAATGTATCGAACATTTCTATATTTAATACTTTAATACAAAATTTTCGTCTTAGACCTAGGTCATCATTGAAAAATTCAATTGTATCATTCAATTTCAATTCACCAAAATGTCCTTTATGTAAACGAATTTCAATCGTTTTTTTACCAGCATATATCAATGAAAACCATGGTTCGGATAAATTTTTAATGAGCATAACAATAGGTATTTGAATAATAAGCTGCAAAGCGATAAAACCAAAAAAGAATAACACATTAAAAAATAATACATTAAGATATTTCATGCTTGCCCTAGTCGACAATCCTTGATAAATGAGAAATTTATGGAAATTTTCCAAAGAATCCGTTTTCGTGAGACTTCATACACATACACAGACTGTGGGAGTTAGGAAAACTAATTTGTCGACCTAACTATCGACTTCTAATCAAAAGTTACTAGAATGATGGCATGTATCAAATTTTCTTTAATATAAAAAATTTAGTTAAAACTTTTTTACGTTGATGGAGATATACATGGCATCAGTAAAGCTTCTGTCAGTCGGATAATGAAAGCTATATCAGCAATTTTAGCAAATATGGCAACACAAACAATAACATTTCCAAGCACAGCGAACGAACTCGACGAAATTAAGCAAGGTTTTTATGAGACATCTCGATTTCCGCGTGTTATAGAGGTTATTGACTGTACACATGTTCAAATAAAAACTCCGTCAGAAAATGAAGGTAAAAAAGAGTTCGTTTGCTGTGCTTGTAAAAAGATCGCAACTAGAATTAGTGCAACTGCCTTTTTAAAACACGTTAATTTCAGCGTCAAATCTAGAATAAGCGTGTGGAAAACAGATTGTGCATTTTTTACTGCGCAGTGAGGATGCAGTGCCTTGATTGCTTCATTTTTGTTATAAAATCTGGTGAAACTCTTTCAACGCGAATAAGTCAGTGTTCAGCAACAATTCGAAGTAGCAGAAGCTATGAGTACACTTTCCTAAGCTGAAATTTATTTTTTACAGAATGTATTCATGGAAAATTAAGGTGTATTCCTAAAATACATAATGCATATACACTTTACTCTCGCTTGGTGCGCTCCTCCTTGAAAACAGTGTACAAAACTTCGAACACTATGCTAAAACTGCTTAAACTTATTGTATAGAAGTATGAGTTTCTATGGATGAACCTATGTGTCATGATTGAAAAAACTCTTACAAAACGATTTTGTCTTTTGATTGGCTCATCTTAGCCATAATTCAACTTAAGTCAGATATTGCTTAAGTGTTAAGTCATACTTAAGTTGTGCTTGCTGAAACACACTTAGGACGAAACTTAAGTTCGACTTAAGTGTCTCCTAACTTATTCTTAGTTTTTCACTTAAGTCGTCGACTTAAGTCAAACTTAAGTTTTTTGATGAAACTGGCTCCTGAATCTGTCACTAGTTCGGATAATACCATATAATATGATTTGTCAAAACTAACCAATAAGGAGATGTTCTGATGTTCTCCATCCACAAGTAAAAGCAGTACTTCTAATGATAAGCGCCCACAGTAGAAGCAAAGTACAAGGTGCCCTCCCGATTTTGAAAAGTACTCTGTCCAAAAAGACAGAGTCCATGCGTGCAGCACTACTTCATCTCAAATTTTCATTGGAAACACTAAGGAAAAGTGCGGCATTCATTAAAAATGAAATAATTAAGAAGGAGCATCATGTATTTTCAGATGAAAAAACAAAGACGCTTATTTCGTGCACTTTTTTCGGTTTTTAAGGACACAAATTCATTGAATGAAAGTTTGGGATTTCAACAAGGACCAAATCCGATTTATTTCCTGTTTTCTTCTTTTTATGATCTGTTATAGTTACTGAGGTATTCACTATTCTACACTATAGAGGGAATATCTTATATATGTCTTATAGAGTGTGGAATAGTGAATATCTCAGTAACTAGGCATATTAACAAGCCGAATGTTCGACGTTTGAAGCTCGGGTTCAACCATAGTTCGGCGTTCGAGTTCGCCTCGAAACAATTTTGATTCGGGTTCGAGCTTAACTCCAAAAATGTACAACATTCGAGTCCGTGTTCGAGATCAAATAGTTAAGAAAGCACACTATTATGCTATACACCATATAATCAGACAATTATTATTTTTTTTGCTTAAACCCTAGCTATGCTCATATTAATGTGTTTCCTTTCACTTTTTGCACTTTGATTCGAAAAATAATGAAATAACAAACTTCTTCAAACATAGCAACCGTGAATTGTGGTAAAATCCGAACTTCAAACATCGAACGTTCGACTTCGTAACATGCTTAGCAACAGTAATTCATTCCACAGCATGGAATTAAGGATATAAAGTGAAATATTATAATCCCTCAAGGCTTGTAATATCAAAAAAACTTTTAAACATGTTCTGCCAACCGCGTCTTGGTGCTAACTCTGCGTTGACAATAATTCGAAATCGAACTCGAACTGTTCGAAGCCGAACCTCGAAGTTGCGTTCGGGTTCGACATATCCCTATCGGTAATTGTAACAGATCATAAAAAAAAGAAAATAGGAAACGAAATCGCATTTGGTTCTTGGTGAAATCCCAAACTTTCAATCAATGAATTTGTGTCTTTAAAACCTGAAAAAACACAGGAAATCTACTACTGATTTGATGAATCATTGTGTCCAGGTAACGTACGAAAAGCAATGATCGATAATGAATTTATTTGACTTTTTGAAATTAGTAAATGTTAGTAGTAAATAAAAAACAGGGGCGCCCCGATAAGGGAAGGAGGGAAGGGATCTCCTCACCCTGCTTTCTGAAAAAATTTACTGCGAAATGAGGATTTTCTTACTCCAAAAATTAGGTCGTTGACTTACGAGAATATCCCACAGAGTAAAGCATTTACTCGTATTTTCAGAGTAAGACAATTGCTCTCATTTTTAGAGTATAAAAGGCTTACTCTCAGTTTCGTAGTTAGGAATTTACCTCTTTTCAAAAGTAAGATATTTACTTCTATTTTCGGAGTAAGACATAGACTTACATTTTTAGAGTACAGCGTTTGTTTTTTCTCTTTCTGTGTTTGATAGAAAATAAAAAAATTTCTATCATATACATAAATAAGATAAGATAAATAGAATAGACTGTATCATGGCTTCAGTAAATGAATTTTGATATTATAAGGTGTTTTTTTAAGGCTTTGTGTTGAAGTAAATAGAGTTAGACAGAAGGAAATTCAGTCTTGCTTTAGAAGAAAACCGCTTAGAATATTTACCTGTTTTTTTTAAGTTTTATTCCAGTTTTTAAAAGCATAAAAATTTACTCTGAAATTGACTTCCCGCTTCAATATATTTCAAATATTTGAATTTGAAAAATGTTGTTTTTTGATGATTGAATAAACCAAAAACCTCCTACTAGATGTGTCAACTCATCCTACTACCTTTTATCTATGAAGTCAGTCTGAACAAAAATCTTTCCTCACGAAACAAGCCGACTCATCCACAGAAGATGAGTTAATTTGTCCTATTAAGCTTCTTTTCTAGATGATCTAATGATCGAAATATTTCTGTATGAGAAAGGAGTCGACTCATCGTGAGACGATGTGTCGAATCGTTCTACTTCGAGTTTTTTCTGGGCGACGTAGTTATCTAAAAAATAATCCCTCATGAAATGAGTCGACTTATCCTGTAGAGAAATATTTTCGTTGATCTGACTTAAAAAACTTGAACAGGATGAGTCAATTCATCTTATTACTAGTCGACGCGAGATTTCATGCTTTACGATGAGCCGACAGGTGACTCACAGTGACATCTTTCAATTTCTCAGGAAAATGAATATCTTTTTTGTGTGCAATCTAATATTCTGTTAAGAATGAGATAGTTTAATGTGCAATTACTTTTAAATAGAATTGCTATTTTAAGAAATACTCCTAACCAATCAGCGTCCGTACTGCTGCTGCATTCTGCAAAAAAATTAACGAAATGGCTATTGACATCTCCGGGGTGGCAGCAAGGAGCTATTGACAATCCAAAGACTGGCAGCAGGGAGCTATTGACACCCCCATCGAACTGGCTGAAAGAGCTATCGACAGTCCAAAATACACTTATACACTGCACAAATGTGTTATTCAAAATCTTATGTTGAATTAATTCTGAATTTGACGGTCTGTAAGAGGCCGTTTCAGGTGGGTGGGGTGACTGTGTATGAGAGTGGGTCACTAGAATACTTCCATGTTGCCTGAAGATGATGGTCTTTATTGAATAACACATATGTGCAGTGTATAACTGCATTTTGGACTGTCAATAGCTCCTTGCTGTCAGTTCGATGGCGTGTCAATAGCTCCTTGCTGCCCGGGGGTGTCAATAGACCTACCCAAAAATTAATTAATTCTGTATTTTATTCCTACTTGGGGAAGTGTTGTTAAGGACAACCCTTCTATAAAACGTGGCTCTCACAACGATCATATAGATGAGTATTCAGACTTTAGATATCTAGATATCATAGTACAGAAAGAGCTCTACGAAAACTAAAAACATTGTTCATATTACCAAATCGAAAAATTTTAAAAGCTTGTTTTATTTAGTCAAAATCGATTGCAGATTCATCTTCTCCATAGTCGATTATCTTTTTTTTGAAAATTTTTGAGCGAACATGAGAGAATTTTTTCTGAAGTAGTGGGCATTTTCTGAAGTCCTCATTGGCAGATTAACTTCGTTAGTATAGACACTCATTTTCAAAAGAGTGAACTCAGAAAAAAACATGTTTTGAAAAAAACGTGTTTGCGGTAGACTCCTACATGAACATTTTGTTCATGGAATTTTTGCATTTTTCAGACAAGTTTTGCGTATGAATTTTTTCTCCGAGGAAACAAGAATAACAGTAGACTATATGCATATAGAACACCGAAATAAACACGTTTTTCTTTGTTCAGTGTAGTAAAAACATGTGCCGAGAGAGGTAAAAGCGAAGAAAAAAAGATATTGACTATATTCTGTTTGTTTGTTCCTTTCTTTCTTACGGCCAAACATCTTATCACTAGTGTCCCATCAGATCGTTGCTTTGAAAAAAATTTAAAAATTTTTTGGCTTGTCCATGTCATTTGTGCCCATGGAGTAATTTAAAAAACTGTCTGTGGACGTCTATGAACATGTCTATCTAACGCAGAGCTCTAGTGTGCACACACACTAGAAAAAATTTTTGTGTGAAGAGAACCACTTGTTAAAATGTTTGCTGTCGGAGAACATGAGTTATGCCCGATCATAACGAATTAAAGATATTTTGAAAACATGATCATGTTAAGTAAAAAACTTAA